TATATAATTCAACCCTGTAAAAGTGTTCAACTGGCCTTGGTCAGTTTTTTTGTTGTATTCTTTCAAAGTTACAAACCGTCAAAAAGATGAAAATTGGCACCAGCCACCTTAATTGTTTCACGGCATCCATGACGAACAAACGGTACACCAAATCGAACCAAAATAGAGGTGCGCAAATGAAGACAGCATATTTTAAGTTAAAAAAGCCGTCGACTGACACGGCAAGGTCAATGGCTTGCTGCAGGCAACCATGTACTATAATTAAAGAATTTGTCATTCAACTTGAGTAGTCGTTGAATAGCTTTTTCTTTCTCCCACATCGTGACAAGACGACGAAAACCCTTCTTAAAGTATAAAATAATTGACGGTTTCTGAGAGCTCAAGAGTATCGACTCCATCGGCTCAGAACGCTTCACCGTTAATTTCAAACCTTACTTCATTCAAAAAATTTCTTCCCTAAGTGAAAGTGGCCCGTATTAATAAACAAAGGCCAACACATGCCTCATGGAGTGTTCAAAGAAAATCTTGAGATTTTCCTTCCCGTTCTCTTCTGTGTAGGTCTTAAAGAGTAGAAGGAACTGAGTTTCTTATTCTGGGTTTCCTGAAGCCATATTAATGACGCGAATAAGCTTTTGTGTGTGCACGATTAATCTTAGAAAGAGATTTAAAGGGTTAAAATGTAACTTCTCCCTCCCGTACCCATACGTTATCAAGCAAACAGGTAATGAGTATACTCAAACTAATCAGGTAGTTAACTTGATCTAACCTCAATTTCTGGAAACTTATTTAGGAGGAGATGTACAACAGCTAGAGGGATAAAATTATTTTTACAACCAGATCTTACCTGTTGACATTTACACTTAACTGATGAGCCATTAGGAATTTCTACTACGTTCATTTTCGTGTAAAGTTGGCTGGGAGAATCTTTTATTGGTGCGGTGTCTCGCTGAAAGTTTGCTGAAGGTTTTTTTCAATTTTGGAGTATTTCTGTGCAAAATTTTTTTAATTTCCTCAAATCTTTAATTTTCTGTGCCTAGTCAAAATACGGAAAATCGGCCGCCATCTTGCCCCACGACCGAGTTTAAAGAGGAATGGCCCTAGCGGATAATGTGATAGTCTCCTCGCGCAGCCCTTCTTTGTCTCGGGATCCCTGTGTCTCCCTCCCCACAAACGGCTGCTCGCGTTGACCAAACATTCCATTCCCTTTGTTTCCTTAAACCAATGACCGTTGAGCAGTTGTTCGGGACCCGCTAATCAGGAAGCGAAAAGTTCCACGCGAGTTTACCGGGGAACATCTCTCAAAACTTCGCCAAATTTCATGTTGGTAGAGCTAAATACCCCGAAGAAAGTAACTTGCAGTAATTTATCTAGATGTTTCCTGTGTACGTCAACAGTTTCGACTAAAGAAAGAGTTAAAATCTTCGGAAGATCGGCTGATGTAGCGAGCGTCATAAGTTTAGCACTGGGTATAAACTTGGAAGCTTTCGACATTTATTTGAATTCTACTTATCATATATGTCTCAAATGCTACAGAAAAGTTGCCAAGAATACGAGATTAGAAAGCGATCTCTAAGAGCTAAAAAATTAACTGAAAGCTGGCTATAACTATAGTCAAGATCACCGGGTTAAAGACTTCAGCCATCACTTGACAGCGACTCGAACGCAAAGCGACCTTCTGTAGCGAAAGCTCTCGAGTCACCGGCCCTAGCACATGTACTTCTTTGCCTCCAAGTCCTACAGTTGAACCGCTAGTATTTCTGCCTTGTACGCCTCAATCTTCTAGTGCATCAGCTATACTGCTACCTACTCTACTCGTCAGTCCAACAGTCGCTGAGAAATCGCCGCATGTTCCCACGAATTGGCGAGATGAATATATTATGAGCCTTCCAGATTTCGGAAGGCGGCACTCTGATTGGTCAATCGGCTGGAATGGAATGTTTGGTCAACAAGAGCAGCCGTGTGTGAGGAGGGAGACACGTACGGATCCCGAGACAAAGAACAGCTGCGAGAGGAGACTAGTAATGTGACGTCAAATCGAGAACACGAAAAGTCTGCATTTCACACATTTTCACTTGTTTGGGAAGGTTGTCGTCGATATTGTCCGAAATATCATGATGCGGACTAGGTGTGTTGTATGAGGAATGTTGTGAAGCGCGATACCCTCTTGGAAATTTCGCACGGTGCTACATCCTTCTACAACACACTTAGTCGGCATATTTTCGGACAATATCGACTACAACCTTCCCAAACAAGTGAAAATGTGTGAAATGCAGACTTTTGTGTTCTCGATTTGACGTCACAATTCCCGCTAGAGCCATTCCTCTTTAAACTCGGTCGTGGGGCAAGATGGCGGCCGATTTTCTGTACTTTGACTGGGCACAGAAAATTGAAGATTTGAGCAATTAAAAAATTTTTTGCACACAAATACTCCAAAAAATACGCTTATTTCGTTAAGCGAAAAAAAATTGGGGTTTAGGTGCACTTTAACGGAAAGAGCTCTTAATAACTCAGAAGAGCAATCAAGGAAGAATTAACCAATAGACCTTTCTCACGCAGCGCCATCTTGGATTCCGTGCCGCACCAAATCGAGGCTGGACTGGCATTCTGTTTCGCGTGTTTGGCAAATTTTTGTACATTGTACAATTCACTATGGCTGAGAGCGTAGCTTCTGTTACGTGGTCGAAATCTCTCAAGAATATTCCCTATTTTGATTCAACTCTCGTTGAGAAATGGCTCGAGAAAGTAATAACCTGTGGTTACAGCAAATTCTGCGAAAGCTACATCTTTGATATCGAAGGTAAGTTTCGATATTGAGGAGTTGTCCAGGTTGTTGTTGATGCTTCAAGTCTACGTGAAGATGGAAATATTTTGTTCGAACAGTTGCGTAATTCACGCCATGCGTACCATTTTTACAGATATTATATTGTTCTTATCTTTTATTTAAGCCCGGATTTGTTAATCGAAAACTTCCAACACTTCTTTCCATATCAAAAAGAGGAAATATTTAGGAAATGAGCTCAGAACTCAGAAAAGACCAGCACTTTTTTGGTTTGTACTAGGTCAACTAACAAAACACAAGGATTGTTAAATAAACTGCTCTCGATAAAATTTATCGAAATTAAGGCTTACAGAAATATTTACTCCGCAATGCAGAACTCTTTCCTCCCTGTGATACTAGAAATAAAGATATAACAGGGATGAACTAATCATCAGAAAGCCTAAACTGTTTACCTTTCTGTTGTAGAAATGTAATAAAGGTTTTTGTTTTTGGAAAAAAAAATAAGAATCGACTTACCTAACTTTGCTCTTCGGGGTGTTTTTTACTGGTAATGACCTCAATGTTTTGGTGTTCTTCATTTCTTATCGGACTTGGCCTCTTCACTGTTGAAATCTGTTGTCGATTGTTCCCTTGAAGACTGGACAATTCTCGAATTGTAACAATGGTTGTCCAAGAAATTTTCTGAGGCAGGTTATCAAAATCGAAATAAACCCTGCTGGGCTCAACTACCTTCTCTTCATAGTGAAGACATCCCGAAGACTCTTGTAAAGTTTTAGGACCTTATCAAAACATATTTTTGAAGACAGTGTCTTTTACTTTTCAGACATTTTATCCTTTTCATGACTTGGCAATCCTGCAACTTGTATTTAATTTTGACCCTGTTGTTTTCTTATAAAAATTGACGCAAAAACCTCGGTAAAACTACGAGAACTTTCCACAAGCTCATTGCCACCATATTTG